AGAAAAAAAATTGGTGGAGGACAGGGCAGGGCACCCAGGCTCCGTCTGAGCATACAGACTCTGATGGAGTTCCTGTGGGCCCAGAAGGTAGGTGGGAGTGGGGGATGGCTGCACCTCCGTTCACCAAGCCAAGCCGTTGTGAGGTATGAGTAACAAGAGGAATGTCACACCTTTTCAGTGTTGCAAGTCTGGAGCGTCCTTGGGGTTGGTGGCAAGCAGAATGTGTTCTTAAGCCCCAAGAATCTGCAAGAACGCTGTCTCTTTAAATATCCAAAACAGTCAAGTTGCTTTTAAACATTCAAAATGGCGGTGCCCTCCAGATGGGCAAAAGTCCACAGCTCAGCCTGCCTTTTCCCTTCACATTCTCTGTTTATTCCCCAGCCATCAGAGCAGTCCTCCGTTCAGTCCCTGGCTTCCAGGGCTGATTTTTAGGTTAATTCTTAGGTCCTACCACCACTTGGGAGTCTCCAAGTTGTCTGTGCCGTCAGGATCACTCAGGATCGTTGCCAGACTGCAGCTCCGTATGTCTCCTTTTTTGGTATTTTCACGCAAATTCTTCTGCTAGTTGGGATTTAGTCCACTTGTATGTCCTTCCGTTCAAGGCTTGGGAGTCCAAGATTATCTTCTGTGTCTGTGTTAATTGGCTTCCCGTCTCTTTGTTGAAGAGGGTCTGTGCAGTCTTTCTGCCTAGTCCACCATCTTGCTAGAACTCCCTAAAGCAAATATCTTAATAAAGCAAGTCATAGAAAGTTTTTGGTTTCCCAATGCATATAAAAGTTGTTTACATTATACTATAGTCTGCTAAATGTGCAATAGCATTATGAAATAATTTGAAATATTGTGAGAAGTACAATATTGTGACACAGAGACATGAAGTGAGCATGTGCTGTTGGGAAAATGACGTTGATAAGATTTACTTGACACAGGGTTGCCATAAACCTTCAATTTGTAAAAACCACTGTATCTGTGAAGCACAAAAGCAAAGTGCAATACAACGAGATATGTCTGTGCAGCAGTGAAGATGGGGTATAGGAGTATACAGCATTTGGGGCACATTCTTCCATTTTTTATTAATCGCAATTATCTACGAACTATATCTCAATCAAAAGTCATGAAAGTGACGCCGGGAAGATGTCCTAGTAGTAAAGTAAAATGAGGTAAAGTTTCACATGAGAGTTTGTAATATAATTTGACCTATTAAAGATTAAAATGTATTTTGTGCATTCCCAGTTTTACATTTGTTGCATTGGTGCATTGAATCTTTCTTTGGTTTTATGCCTTCAAATTCAGGCTACAAACGTCCACCTGGCCAAAAAAGGAGTTACCAAGTTACAAAGTAATACAAATAGCAAATAAATATTTTTTCAAATTAAAAATCACTAGTAATTGAAGAAATACACAATTAAAATATCATGCTACTATAGTGCCTAAGGCATTGACTGCTAACCAGAAGGCTGGCAGTTCAAACCCACCCGCCACTCCTCGGAAGGAAGATGGAGCAATCTACTTCCGTAGTGATACTGCCTCAGAAACCCAAGGAGGGGTCACTATGAGTTGGGTGTGACTCGATGGCATATAATAACAACAATAATTTTCCCATTTAAAATTTTTTGTTATTTTCCTGTGACAAAAATAATATACATCTCTTTTTTGTGTAGGAAATAAGAAATGACAAGAGAAGAGAAGAAAGCAATTTTTATCTTATTTTTGTTGTTGAGAATATACACAGCACAACATATACCAACTCAACAGTTGCTACATGTACAATTTAGTGACATGTATTACTTTCTTCATTCAGGTTGTACAACCATTCTCATCCTCTTTTTCTCATTGTTCTTCCCCCCTTACCAGAAACTCACTGCCTCAGAAGGTTCCTATCTAATCAAGAAAGCAGTTTTTAAAATTCATAATCCTATCACAGTGGCAACATAATTAACATCTCTTTATGTGAATGCTAGTCTTCTTCCTATCTGTGTATCCTTTTGCCATACTTACTCAATCTGTATGCTGAGCAAATAATCCGAGAAGCTGGACTGTGTGAAAAACTCAGCATCAGGAATGGAGGGAGGCTCATTAACAACCTACAATATGCAGACAACACAACCTTGCTTACTGAAAGTGAAGATGACTTGAAGTGCTTACTGATGAAGATCAAAGACTACAGCCTTTAGTATGGATTATACCTCACATAAAGAAAACAGAAATCCTAACAAGTGGACAAATAAGCAACATCATGGTAAATGGAGAGAAGATAGAAGTTGTCAAGGATTTGATTTTACTTGGATCCACAATCAGTGCCTAACAGTAACAACAGCAAATGTCTAAAATTACTCTTAACAGTCTCCTATTGATGTACTTTTGAATTTTTTATTGTAAGTTATGCCATAATAAACATCATTTGTGTTAATGTTTTTTTTTTGCATCTCTGATTATTTTGTTAGGATTACTTCCTAGAATTGCAATTGCTGACTCAAAGCATATTGCATTTTTAAGGCTTTTGATTACCTGTTACCAAAGTGCTGACAGAAATGTTGTACCAAGTGTATGAGAGTATCGGTTTGCCTGTTCTCTTATCTATAAATTGTTTATGTTGTGTTCTTGCCTTTGCCATTTTTATAACAAAAATGGTATCTTGTTTTAATTTGTACTTCTTTGATTAATACTCAGGGTATATTTTATATGTCCTGACAAAATACTACAAATTAAAGAAAAATTTGTATTCTGATCTCTTCAGTGCCACATTGTTTATAAGGGCAGAAAACAACAGTGCATGTACACCTAAATGTTTAACAGAAAGAGAGCACTGAAATAAACTATGATACTGTAAACAATAAACTCTGCAGCCATTAAAACATTAAATGTGTGAAGCGATTTTATTCAGTAATATTAGATAAGAGAACTATTGTGGTATATTTTATATTTCATGTCTACCATAGTATTGTGAGCATGGGCATTCCAGAACAGTTCCTTGTGCTCCTATAGGGCAGAATCTGTGCATCAACCAAAAGGCAGTAGTTCAAACAGAACAAGGGGACACTGTATATAAGGTGTGTGTCAGGGTTGTATCCTTTCACCATACTTACTCAATCTGTATGCAGAGCAAATTATCCTAGAAGCTGGACTATATAAAGAAGAAGGCAGCATTAGAATTGGAGGAAGACTTATTAACAACCTGTGGTATGCAGATGACACAATCTTGCTTCCTGAAAGCAAAAATGACTTGAAGCACTTATGGATGAATATCAAAGACTGCAGACTTCAGTATGGTTTGCACCTCAACCTAAAGAAAACCAAAATCCTCACAGCTAGACCAAGCAACAACATCATGATAAACAGCAAAAAGATCAAAATTGTCAAGGATTTCATTTTACTTGGATCCACAATCAATGCCCAGGGAAGTAGCAGTCAAGAAATCAACTGACGTATTGCATTGGAAAAATCTGCTTGGAAAGACTTCTTTGAAGTGTTAAAAAGCAAAAGTGTCGTTTTGAGGACTAAGGTACACCTGACCCAAGACATGATATTTCCAATCGATTCATATGCATGTGAGAGCTAGACAGTGAATAAGGGAGTCCACAGAAGAGTCATTACATTTGAATTGTGTTGGCAAAGAGTATTGAATGTACCATGGACTGCAAGAAGAATGAACAAATCTGTCATGGAAGAAGTACAGCCAGAATGCTCATTAGAAGAGAAAATGGTGAGACTACCTCTCACGTAGTTTGAACGTGGTATCAGTAGAGACCAATCCCCAGAGGAGGACATCATGGTTGGTAAAATTGAGGGTCAGCAAAAAAGAGAAAGACCTTCAATGAAACGATTGACACAGTGGCTGCAATAGTGAGTTCAAACATAGCAACAATTGTGGGGATGGCACAAGACTGCTTAGTGTTTCATTTTGTTGTACAAAGGGTTGCTGTGAGTCAGCCATAACACACACCCATGACATGATCTTTTTAAACCTTTAAGAAAAAACCTTGAGAGAAAATGTACCAGAATATAATTACTTCTGCAGGTGATGGGTGATTTTTTAATATTCATAATTTTAAGTACTTTCTATATTTTTATAATTAGCATTTATGTCACTTTTTTTTTTAAGAAAACACATTTTTGTAAAGTAGACCACATAAATGGTATAAGAGGAGGGAAGAAATTGTCCATCTTCAATTATGTGTAACATGTATTCTAAGGATAATATTAAACATTTTATATTGAAACAGGCATGGATAGATTAAACAAACAAGATTCTGCTAAATAATTAAATAGCTGGTTGTCAAAATGTAAAAAGTTCCACTTGCTTGAGACACTATTATTGGGATCATATGGAAAATGTAACATTGTTCATGGTTTTCTTTTCCTTTTTAGGTTGCTGCTGTTGATCTTCTGGTCCCTGGAGTTGGGGAGCTCTTTGGAGGAGGCCTCAGAGAAGAACGGTTCCATTTCTTGGAACAGCAGCTGGCCAGGTATTGAGCAGACCTAAAAGAAACACTATTCAGACATTAGTGGTGAGACACTCAAAGGCAGTCATGGAAAAATAACAGAAAAACTCATGGGCTTTGGGCTTTGGCACCTGACAGACCTGATGCTCAGAGTCTCTGTGACCTTGTACAAGTTATTACTTAACTTCTCTGAGCTTCCCTTTCTCAGAGACTGGAACTGTCACAGGAAACAAGGCTACAACATTGTTTGCCCACTATTTGCATATATTTCTCCCTATGAAAGTTGTTTTTTAAAAAATTGATGATGAAAGAAGGGGGATTTCCCTTTGTAGCTGGGCACTTACTTTTCTCTTCTCTGTGCTTTTTCAACTTACTCTCAGTTATGACTGGCACACTCCTACAGGGACACAAAGACAGACTCTGAATTAGGAAGAGAATAAAGATGGGAAAGAAAGCTAGTGAAAATAATGTGCTAAGCTAATGTTTAGAATGAGCAAGTTTTCCTTCTTCAAGTTCTCTACTACCTACAGTTCTTGATTTAGCTGTTTGATTAACTTTATTTCAACTCACTACTTGTAACTTGGGAAATAAATCCCATAAACACATAGAAAATGTTTTGGAGATGGGATGTAAGAAATCCTGTTTCTAATTGAATTACCACTCCTGTATATGCATGGTCTGCCAACAAACCACAATAACTTCCTACACTAACCAAGGTTATAAATCTCTGTTTTCCATGATACTCACCTTTGCTGTGACAAACTTAAAAATTAAAAGAAGACTTTCTTATGTCTGTAAGCGTAATCCTTCTCTCCAGATAATAGTGGGTTTCATAGTAACCTGGAAAAGCCATAATTGTTTGAATATGTCCTGTTAGCCATTTGTATGGCCTTTTCCTCCTGGAGAAGTACTTAAATAGGTGATCCTTTTCTAAGATCCCAACCTACAAATTGGGTAACTTCACTTTGTAATCCTCATCATTTGATTTGTTCTGTTGGTTAGGATCCAGAAGAAAGAGGATAAATAGTTCTGGGAAAAATTGTTTTTATCATTCAGACTCAGCAGTCTCCTTATTATTACTATAGTGTTAGAAAGTCCTGGGAAAATTGTGGAATTGCAGTGAAGGTCATACTATTTAATAATTTAGATAAAATCTGAGGATTCTCTGAGTTTTATAAAAAGGACAATTAAAATCACACATGGCAAGATACCTCATCTGTTGAAAGATTAATTGATCTGTTTTCTTTGCTTGCTTCCTTCCTTCAGGAAACCTTTCCTCATAGCAGATTAAATGTTTACCTAATATCTAATAGTATCCAAATTTATCTCTCCTAGTGAAATGATATGTATATTTCTCTATCTCAGGGATCTGTCTGTGACTGTTTTCATGTTTTCTGTATTTTTGTATATTTGAATTTTTATGAGTCCTGATCACTTTAGTTACTCTGTGATCCCATACACTTTTCTAAAGGGCTGAAATTAATTTTAATGAATACTAACTTAAGATTTTATTAACATTTCTCAAATCAGACAAGAACGAATTTACAACCATATAATGAAGGCAGCTGCAGAATCTGTTTTATTACTTTAATGTTGTGGAGTGAAAGTCATATTCTTCTCTGGTGTCGGTGTGCTTCCCAGCAACCTTAAGTAGTAATGAGTGCTTTTGTTACTATTAATAATAGTGACAGGGCACTAAGTGCATCTCAGATGAACCCTTTCCTTTGGGCTCTGCACTATATTTTGTTTCTATAGCTGTATTGTCTATATCACTTATTTGATAATCCCTTGGATTACTGGCTAATTTTCCATATAATAAAGTTTCAGCTCATCATCTATAATTGCCTGTTATTTGAGAGCACAGGCTATGTTGTATACTTCTTTAAAGAAAGCTCTTTGCACAAAACCCAGAATAAATGTTTGATAGTATATTTACCTTGAAGAAGCCCTGGTGGTGCAGTGGTCAACTGCGCAGCTGCTAACCAAAAGCTCAGCAAGTTGAACCCACCAGCCACTCCACAGAAGAAAGATGAGGCAGTCTGCTTCCATAAAGATTACAGCCTTGGAAACCCTATGGGGAATTTCTACTCTGTCCTATAGGGTTGCTGTGAGTCAGAATCAATTTGACAGCAATGGGTTTATATTTATCTTATTGCCATTCCCTGAAAGAATTTTGCTGTTTTCCTTTTGCAGATCAAGACTTACAGAAGCCTACCAATGGTAAGTGTGACCCCTAATGATTCTTATTCTGGTTTCTTGTCTGAGTGTTACATAGATGGGTTTTTTCTGTATTTAAAAACCACTCCAAGACAGTAAGGAAGAGTGTTAAGAGCAATGGACAGACTCAAAAGATTACTTACCTGCCTGGGATCCTTGAAAATAGTAGTAATAATGGTTATTGATTATTTACTACTTATTATATGCCACATAACTATGTTTTATGTATATTATCTCATGTAATGAACACAACACCCTGTGATGTACATACTTATATCATCGCCATTTTATTATCCCGCTAGGCCTGAAGCCTAGTGATGGTATCTAACTTAAACAAGATCATACAGTTAGTGTGGAGCTGGGACTTGATCCCAGTTCTCTCTAAATTGAAAATGTTTATTCTTAACCATTGTGCTTCAGTTCCTGTGTATGAAATCAAAGTCTGGGGCCGAGTGATCCCTAAGATTCTCATTAGCTATAGACATCTACGCTGCCTTAGGGAAGCTCACCTTTCTGCATTCATACATTCCCTTACCCAAGTTGTTCTTTCTGCAGAGCATGTCCTCAGATATGTTTAAGAAGATACAAAGTGTGTATTTATGTGTCTGTGATAGCACTCCTTCAGGATCTTAATGTAACAACATCAACAATATTATTAGTCCTTTTGCTGTCCTCAGGAATAGGAAGAAGCAGGTTACCTTCTTGCTTCTCTCAGTAATGAAGGAACTAAAGTTCACAGATGTGAAAGAAGTTAAAATTGAGTTTATGTTTAACACCTGAATGCCAGTCTTATGTTTACCACTAAAGACCTTGGGCAAGCAATTTAATATCTCTGAGTCTTGGTTTTCTTGACTAGTGAGAATAGCTACTTCACAGGGTTGTTTTTGAGGATGAAATGAAAGGAAATAAATATCTACGTGGAATAGAAACTCAGTGGATAATAATTTCTTTTTCCCTTTCATTCTTTTGTTCTGAGTCTTGTTGTTAGGTTCAAAAGCCTGATTGAGCGAGCTAATGCACTTCACCTGAGTTTCTTTCTGTCCATGAAATAGTATATTCATACTAAGTAAAAACTAACCATAATAAACAGCTAAAAAGAAATTTTAATTACTGGTTTGAGTTTGGTCTTTTTCTGGCCATTATTAATCTTTTCAAGGCTATACTTTCCCCAGCTGAAGTTTTAAAACTTTTCACATTTCCAGTATAAGTATTTGTTACTTGAATTTTCTTCCTTTTATACATTGTTGTTGTTGTTGTTAGGTGTCATTGAGTCGGACCCAACTCATAGGAACCCCTTCTTGGGTTTCTGAGGCAGTATCTCTATGGAAGTAGACTGCCCCATCTTCCTTCTGAGAAGTGGCTGGTGGGTTTGAACCGCCAGCCTTCTGGTTAGCAGTCAAGTGCCTTAGCCACTATGCTACCAGAGCTCCCTTTTATACATTAGTCATGTTTTTAAAGATAAAAGGAACCTTAAAAATCTTATCTCTGCTAGTGTTCCAGCATACTGGGGGTAGTAGCCACCCCAGGTGTCTAAGAACTTACTCACTTCTTGTTTCTACATGCCACATGCAAATAAAATCTGTAACTAGTTCTACAAATTTTGTACAATTTCTTCTAAAATCTGGCTACCCTATTACCAGTTTAAGAAGGATCAAACACACACATATTTATTAGAAAATTTTTTCTTAAAAGCAGATTTTTCTATCAAAGCAAAGGGGGAAAAAAACGGTACAAGTTGAATGCCTCTGCTGATAATATTTTAACATAGATGTATGAGAAATTTAAAACTGCCTAAAGCTATTGCTCCAGAGTCAGCAGCCAGCTCAGGTCCTGCAGATGTCTGTGCCAGGTGGTTTGGTGGTTTGGTATGCCCTTCATGTCCTTTGTCACTAAATCAAAATAGACCCTGTCTTCATGCTTTCTAAACTTAAGGTTAATTCATTAACCAAACATTTCAGTTACTGAAGACTCTGTCTCCCATTATCCCTTAAAGTTCTTACTAACCTGTGGTTTTACATTAGAAACCCCTGATCTCTCACTGGCTTGCAACTCAACTGGTTGTAATTCATTTTTTATTTTAGAAAGATAAGTACTTAATTTTAACTCCTTAAAATACTAATAAAGTAATCATTATTATTGGAATAGAAAAATAGGTGATAAGCAGTCTTAATTCTCAATGAGCCAAATGACTGCCAGCTCTGGCACTTGAGTCTTATTCTAGAGGACGTTTTGCAAATCATTAAAGAATCTGTAATCTTCTTTTAATCAGTACTCTCTAAATCAAGAATTCTCCCATACATGACATAGTAAAAATATTTATTTGTAGAGTCATTGTCATCTTCTTCCCTTCCTAAAATAACTTTATCCCAGCCTATGGCATTGGAATCTGAGTTTGAATCATGCCTCTATGATTTTCTAACCATGTGGTCTTAAGTTGAAAGTTACTTAACTTCTCTGAGACTGGTTTCTTCATCTGTGTAATGGGAGATAATGTGTTCTTCACCAGATGTTGTGGGGCATGATATCATTAGTCAATAAAAGATGAAGGAAACAGATATTCAAGAGTTAATGCAAGTGGAAATCATCTAGCTCAAATGTGATAAATGAGTGGTGCTCAGTAATAGTTTATATGAATCAGAATTCTATAAATCTATAGATCAGAAGCCATCCACTTAAGTAGGTAAGGCCATCTACTTAGATTTATACACACTCAGTGGGCCCCATAGCCCACCTAGGAATATAAAGCTACATGGAAGGAGGACTTCAGAGGCTTCTTACCTTTCAGAAAAATGACTCTGAACACCTTCCATTAGGCCTGCACCAGAGAACTAGAAGTTTCTGCTCACTCCAGTGCTCAAGAGTAAATTTTTGTGTCTTCAAACAATGAAGCCTCATGTATTGAGCAACCACTATATAACAGGCTGTAGATACAAGATTGAGACACAGTTCCTGCCCTCAGTGAAGCTAATCTAATCTAGAATTTTTTTTTTCGGGGTGGGTGGTTAGGTAATGTATCAGGCAAAACTCTTCATTCTCTATGTATTTAACAATGTGATTTTTTTAAAAAAAAAGAAAAAAACACTATCATTAGCATAGCACGAAATCAAAAAGGAATTTATTTTCAGGGAAACTAGTAAAGAAATCTATTAGAAAACTTCCTAAGGCAAGCTTTTTGTAAATAAATGATAAACAACTTAAAAAGGAAAAAAAGGGAGGGGGATCATCCTACTGCAGCACATCTGGGTCATCTTGAATAGGTCACTTTAACTTCTGTTTCCTTCTTCTGCCTGTGGAAGGAAAGACTAGTCTACCACAGTGATGCGGACAGTAATAAATGATTGCAAAATACTTTTTAAACAGAATTCTAATCATAACATCTGATCTCATACAACATTTATAGCTGATGATTCTGGTTTTTGTTTTTGTTTTTTTTTAAAAAAAAAAAAACAGGTATCTGGACCTTCGTCGATTTGGAACTGTGCCACATGGAGGTTTTGGGATGGGATTCGAACGCTACCTGCAGTGCATCTTGGGAGTTGACAATATCAAAGATGTCATCCCTTTTCCAAGGTTTACTCATTCGTGTCTTTTATAGCTGGAAGATTGGTTAAGCACAGTCACCCTGTCGCAGAGGTGCTACACATGAATATGCATGCAGGATACTGCATGTCTGGATTTTAGAAATGCAGAAGTTTTCAATGTATAATTGTCTTGCCATGGAGTGTAGCATATGAAAAATAAAAATGATCATGATTTTCTTAGAATGTTGAAGGCACTTCATGGACAAATCAGCTCCTTCAAGAAGAGGTACTTAGAGCAAGTAGAATCTCTAATCTGTTACCTCAATTAAGAAGAAATGAAGAAATTGAACTACATGGTCTCAGAGGTCCTTTCAAACTCTGAGACAGGATGAGATAGTGTGTTTTATTTTGTTTTTAATCATTAGATCATTGCCCTTGTGTAACCTTTGATAAACAGCTAGTGGCTAAAAATAAAATGTTGGATCTTTTCTCCCTTGCCATTTAACTGGTGATTAATTCCCATCTTATTCTCAGTGCTTTACTAAACACTACAGAAGCAAATATTCCTTCTTAGGGTCTCATTCATACAGTATTAATTGACTTGATAAAATTGCTTTGTGAATTGAAATCTTTCTTTGAACAAAGTGAAAAAATCATATTTAATCACTGTTGATATTTATTTATGGTCCCTGGGTGGCACATATGGTTTGCACTCAACTACTAACCTAAAAGTTGGCAGTACGAACCCACCCAGCAGTGCTGCAGAAGAAAGCCCTGGCAATCTCCTTCTGTAAAGATCACAACCAAGAAAAACCATTCTGCAAAATGGCTCATTCCATGTCTGAGTCTCTTAATTTGTAGCTTTTGCTAAAATTTCAACTCAGGTCTACTTCCCTGGTGCTTTAATCCATTGTGGTTAGATACTAAGTTCAGGACAGGATAAAAGGGATGACTATGGCATCCATAAGGCTTGCCTCAGTGGTTTAGAAAGAGAAATCAGTTTGTTTATTCAACAAGTATTACTTATTTGAGTTTTTGTATGTACTAAGAATTGTGGTAGGTGCTAGATAAACAATAGTAAACAAAACAAATGACTCCTGCCTTTATGGAATTTACAATTCAGTAGAGAATATACACAATAATTAAATGTATTATTTCAAATTATGACATATGCTATTAAGTTACATAAAGAACTGGGCAGATATACATAAGCTTACTACATGAGTCACCTCTGCAAAAAATGATATTCATTTAACCTTAGATGTAGAAGATAAAATGCAGAAACCATGTAAAAATATTTACGTCAGCTAATATTGATTTGGCATCCACCTCTTACTTGGTATCATATTAATTTTGTGGAGCAAGGGTCACGGACATTCGCAAACCCCAAGCCTGAAAGCAATATAGTTTTCAGGGCATTTAGGAATCCTGCCTCTAGTAATTTTTCAAGAGCCAGATAGAATTATAACAGTAACATGATGACATGGCATCAAAAACAACAGTGATGGGAAAAAGTAGGAACAGTGATGGAAAGACTGGAAAATTAAGAGAAACTCAGTTTCTGATCCCAGTGTCACCATTAATTAGCTGTGGAGCACCAGCAAGAAGATAACCTTGTGGCCTCCAGTTATTTCATCTGCAGAACCATTATTTTAAAATAGATGAGCGATCCTTCTAGCTCTTAATCTTGTGTGAATCTCTGCTGCACATAGTCACTAAAAATAATTTATTTAGAGTCTGCCCTTTATACCATGCACAGTTCCTCTATTTTAGTACTCATTAGATCTCTGAAAATATACACAGAAGTCAAATCACTGAAAGTTGAATAATGGACTTCTGGTTCAAGGTGGATGTATGTGTAGGGGGAAGGGCCCTTTTCAAGGAGTCAAAAAAAAAATTCCTTGCTTTTTGATAAGAGTGATCAGCAGTGTATTTCCAAAACTTCCTGTTTGTTCATTCATTCTTTTCCTTCACAATTGAACACACACTGCATATCTCGTTGAACCAAACATTTGCCACTTACAGAAGCCTAATAATTTCCTTATTTGGCTTAACACTTCTGCTTTACCAGTAATTGAACAAAAATAAATACTGGTGTCAGACAAAGATGCTGAAAATGCCAAAACACCCTGCATCAACAGGAAAAACCTTATAATGTCCACTTATGTGCTCTATATGAATATCTAAATTATACATACAAATGGCATTTTAAAAGTTTCTATGTAGCATGAATAAAAATACGAGGTGAACAGTCAAGAACCATCTATACTTATAATAATATTCTCATAGGGCTCAATTTGTGAGTTAAAAGGTTATTTAAGGGTGGGTTAATTCACTAGAGTAACCAGTTTTCAGTGCAAGGAAAATCAGATTCTGTTTTCCCAAGATTTCCAAACATCACCCCAAAATAGTAACCTCAGCCACCCAAGTAAGAGGGAATTCTAAAACGTAGGTGCTTTTTCCATCATTAATCTCCATTCGCATTTTAGATTTTTAAATCGCTGAAGAAAAATAGTCACTTTCCATCTGGCTGTTCTCTTGCCTGGGAAGTTGTGCTGTCATATTTTTTGGTCTGACAAGAACTGAATTGTGTGAGTGATCCATTCCAGATCTAGACATCACTCCCCCACCCTGTGACCCAGCCCAGAGACTCTTTAGCTGTCACAGAGCAGCTAAGGAACAGCTTGACCTTTTGTCCCTCAGACAGGATCTGCCAGAAGCCTCCCTCTACAATGCTATACATTCATAGTCTCTATAAATTGAATCTAGACAGTCAAGCATGACTGAACAGGCATTGAAGATGCAATTGGTGAGATGGATTAACTCTAACCATCTTTAAATCTCTTAGTTCAGATAACTATAGATGAAAGATGCTTGTTCAGATTGGATTGCTATTTATTCATATATTTATTTAGTAAGTAGTGAGGCAAGAACATAAAAATGCAGAGCTGAAAGACAGATTGGCCTGGATTGAATTGATAAGAAATGTGTGGGGCTTTTTGGCTTCTGATCAATATTTGTATTCAGTCTGCAATCTAAAGTATGTATGATAAAAAGAAAACAGGTGGGAAAGATATCTGACTGTACTTTCTTCCCAGATTATTTTGCAAGTTAAAAGATTTTTAAATAGCATTAAAGAGCAGAAAGTAACCTTAGTCACTGTGCAGTGAAATGATTCAGTAGGGCTTCCTTTATTAGGTAATGATCAGCATCCCTCCAGAAACTGTGGTATTCTACCAAGAGCCCTAGATTGCCCCTCTGATTAGCTGAACCTCCAGTTAACTTTTGTGCAGAGTTTGTTTTGGAGTCCAGTGAATTTACAGGCATTATTAGCAAACTGTGTTGGGTAGCTTCTGGGGGAGCCTTGTAAAGAAGCCAGGAGTTAGGTGATTCTTAAACTGTCATTCAGGTCATTTAATCAGCATAGCCCATGAATCTTAATAACTTTCTGCTACACTTCTACTGATCATAATTGTTATTAAGCATATAACTACCATTTGTATATTGCTTTACAGTTTGCAGAATGTTTTCATATATCTTATTTACTTAGCTCAACAAAACAATATATTGTAGACTTTGTTCCTTTGTATCTCACTGTGCCTCAAATTCATTTAGTTTGTTGAAAGATTAATTTATTTGTTATGAGGAGCTCCTAATATTGAGGGAAAGTAAGACTACAAATAATGTTCACTGCCCTTAGCCTCCAAAGAATCTGAAGGAGTATCAGAATCTCCTAGTAACCTAAGAATCTTGCATCTTGAGCCCTGGAGTTTACTAGTTTACTAAACCTGTTGAAAAACAAATATTTTGGCCTCTGATTTCCTTTGCCTGTACAGGAAGCAGGGACCTAAGAATGTGAGGGATGATGGCGATTGAGCTCAAATACATTCTACTAAAGGGAAACAGTGAAAATAAATATGAGAATCTCTGGTAGCATAGTGGCTAAGGCACTTGACTGCTAACCAGAAGGCTGGTGGTTCAAACCCACCAGCCACTCCTCAGAAGGAAGATGGGGCAATCTACTTCCGTAGTCTTGGAAACCCAAGGAGGGGTCGCTATGAGTCGGGTCTGAATCGATGGCACATAATAACAACACAACAACAACAGACCCAACAAAAACCCTACAGAATGTAGTTCTGTTCTGTATACATGGAGTCACCATGAGTTGAAACCAACTCAACAGCAGCTGGTGTACCTGATAGAGACCCAGCAATGTACAAAAGTGCACTGTGCCTCAGTTTTTTAACCTCAACATTTTTATGACCTTATACTCATATTTTCCTCACCTTCTGTTCTGGTTACCTGGCGTTGCTCTAACAAGAAGATACCACATATGGGATGGCCTTAACAAACAGGAGTTGATTCTCTCATAGTTTGGAGGCTTTAAGTCCAAGTTCAAAGTGCCAGGCTCTAGGGACTGTGTGAAAGCCCCTCAACCTTGGCTTCAGCTCTGCCTCTTACTCCTGGCCCACTGGAGCTAGAGGCATCTCTTCACTCAGGTAGCTACTGGCTGCTGAGGCTAACAAGCCCAAGGTTGACAAATAAAATGGCATAGTCCCGATGTTACCAAACCACACGCAGGCCATTCATTCAAGTTCATTTTAAGTCCCAAGGTCAGCAGAGCATGGCAGGCTACTGAACAATGTACATGCAGGGTTCAAGCATGCCATAAGCTAGAGACCATTCCCAAAGCTGCTGCTTATATACGGGAAGCAGACCACATACCCAAAGCAGCTACTCAGCTGCTCCAATAGATGGAGTTAATTACCAATGGAGTTAATTACCAATCCACCACGGAGTTAATTACCAATCTCATCATGCCAGTCCCAGCCAAGTTGACACACAGACTTAACCACCACACCTTCCCCATTCGGTCATCCTAGAATATACATAGAAAAGTAAATGAAAGAACTTTGATGGGAGTTATGAATATCCTCCCTAGTGACAGACTTTTAGTATTTCATGATGATACTCTGAGAACAGAAAGGATTTTTTCATGCTACAAGTACACAGCAAGAGCTTGTTTTGCAGAACCTAGGCTGTTTACAGCTGTTGTTGTGCTGTTATGTGCCGTGGAGTCAGACCTGACTCATAGCAACCCCTCCTTGGGTTTCCAAGGCAGTATCACTACAGAAGTATATTGCCCAACCTTCCTTCCGAGGAGTGGCTGGTGGGTTTGAACCGCCAGCCTCTGGTTAGCAGTCAGGTGCCTTAGGCACTACGCTACCAGAGCTCTGTTTATAGCTATGAGTCTTTAATTCATGACCTTCTCTGTATACTGGCTCAACAAGAATTGCTGGATTGGTGTTTTCCTAGGATCCCAGATTTGAAATCTCTCTTAAGATCATATACCTTTCCTCATCTGCGATGCAAACGCTTGTTGTTGCATGCTGTCCAGTTGATTCTGACTCATGGTGATCCAATGTGACAGAGCAGAACTGCCCCATAGAGTTTCCTAGGCTGTAATTTTTTATAGTAGCTTGCAGGA